CCCCCCCCCCCTGCTATCCGTTTCTCACACCTCCGCTTCGTGTCTGCGTCGTACTTCCCTGAAAGACGCTCTGCGCACCGTTCAACTGGAGTCACGCGGAGAGGGGCGTCTCGTACCTCCCCCTCAGCCACGTCGCCGGCCAGGTCAGTTGAACAACCTTTTTCGCCAGCAACGAACATGGTGCGTCAAGGTTTTAGGAAAAATAGAAGTGTACAGCTCGCACCACAACAACTAGAGGATGCAGAGTGTGTGCGAAGAGTGTATCGCAAACACCAGTTGTGGTGAATACATGTCATATGTGTCAGCGATGTGCTCGAGTGGTCGACGTCGGTGCTTGCGCAGCAAGCAATAGGCCTTCTTGTGAGAACTAGAACCAGGGCAGAGTTGCCTGCCATGTGTCTTCCACCCCTTCTTCTACGTTGTTCCTCTGACGTCACTTCACCTCCATTCTCCTTGGTTTCGGCGCTCGTTGTCGCGATCATCGCCCGTTCGTGTCCGATTGAACAACTTTTTCCACCTCCCACCCCCCACCATCACCATCATCACCAACACCTACACCGCGCGACGTCAATGCTACCCCAACAACAACAACAACAACAACAACAACAACAATACAAAGCTGTTGGACATGCACGCGCCTATGGCAGTTGCCAGCTCGGTGTGGTTCGCCCAGCCTGATGCTTTGAAGGGGTCCTTGGTCAAGACCTTGAGGGAAGTACGCCCGACAACGTTTGTCGGAGTGCCCAGGGTGAGAAAATGCCTAAGGACAGCAAGATACCATGGCAACAAGCTATTTATTGTAGAAATTTGAATGCGCTACTACTGAGAAGCTTACACAACACGAACAGCGTGATGCCGTTGGCGAGAAAGTTCGTCCAACAACATTGCGCAATAAACGTTTTCTGTCACCGAGGTTACGGCTTGTCGCGAGGTCCAAAATGCGATGAAGTAGTATTGGTCAGCGTATGTGAAACAGAAATGAGACGTGGTTGACCGGGACCAATTGAAACGAAAACGCGACAATGTTGGTATGACAAGCTTTAGTAGCGTTGGGAATGCAACGACGCCTGGTTTTCGAGCGTGAGCGGAACGACACCTTTGTTTCACCCGATGACCTACGACGGGCGCGGATACATGAAAAGAGGCGGCACAACTCATGACTGACTAACGTTACCGGCGAGAAGCGAAAAAAAGAACAAAGTTACAATCAGAAAGGAAGCGGTGGGATACATATTACTGTCGGCGAGGGATTCCGGTACAGAAAATACAATTCGTGGAGCTCGTAAAAGGGACAGAGATGTAGAGTACAACGACAATAACACTGTTTTCAACCCCCCCCCATCCCCCCACCCCAACCCCCGGCACAGGCGGAAACCCTCCTTACCTGTTATGCGAATGAATAACCCTCATTTTCGGTTGTCCTCCCGAAAAAGGTGTGGGAGAAGATGTACGAGAAGATGCAGGAGATCAGCCGCTCCATTCACGGCGCGAAGGCTGCGCTCTCAGCCTGGTCTAAAGGAAGGGTACGTCCTGCTAGAGACTGCTATGGTATCTGGGTCCACATGGTACGCACTTGTGCATCGATTTCGCCACGTACGTGTTGGAAAACCTATATCGCCTACAGCGAAACACGACGTGAAGCGTGTGTCCAACGTAAGCAGTTGTGTATCCGTTTCGCCATGCAGGAGTTTGAAAATCAATACCACCTACAGCGAACATCAAGTATACGCCTAGAAACGATAGCTATTCCACACGGAGAGGTCTCGGGATTACGTTCGCACCAACAACATTGGTCGCATCTACAGCAGCGACTGCAGGCTCTGCTTCTCAACCCCGCCGTCGGAAAGTCCTTTTTTTCCAATGGGTTCCCTCCTACATCAGCCTAGCCTAGCGTAACAGCCTTCTACAAGTATCACGCTTGCTGTTGCACTACTTGTTTTCATTAGCGTGCTATTTGCATAGCTGCCAGCTACCCCCACAACACTCGCGTTGGTGGAAATCGTAACCGCTATTATAGCACGGTAGACAGTAGTAAACCGCCACGTTTCGGAGCTAACCGCCTCAACCTGACTTTCGCTCGCCGTGTGTCCTTGCCAGGGCCTGGCCAATGCGAGGCGGAAGGAATACGGTGGAGGAGGTGGGACGCCGTGGGGGTTCAAGATCGCCAATGCGGTGGGTTGTTGCTGCTGCTGCTGCTGCTGGTCGTTGCTGTTGTTGTTCATGGTTGTTGTTGTTGTCGTTGTCGTTTCTGTTCCGTCACTTTTGTCTGTGCTCGGAGGTGGTGGAGGTGGAAGTGTTGATGGAATTTTTACCTCTGGAGTACCGGTGTCACTAAGGGTTACACTTCAAAGCTGCACGTCCAAACGAAGCCGGCACGATACAGCGCCGACTTCTTGCCGAAGCCAGTGTAGCGCATGAATTTGGACATGGCAGCAGAGACCGAACGCTGTATGATCCAGGCTGGTTCGTCCACCAACTACCAAAACGTGTAGTCTGAGTGAGGTCTGACACCCAAAACCGATGGAATTTGGGCATAGGTTATCTGCGTAGCGCGAGTATTTGGACCGATTCAGCCAGCAACAACCACCCCGCAGCGGCGTACCAGGAAGTAAGCAGCCAGCAAGCATCAGCAATAAGAGACAAAACTGTTCAATCATGCTGCGGTTTGGTAGACATTTCCGCGTGTCTGTATAGATCGTAGTCTATGCATAGCATGTTATTTTCTAAGACCGAAAAGCTCACTCCCCCGTTTGTTCCCTGATCTCTTGTCTCCATTCTTGTCTGTGTCGGTGGATGACGATGTCACACCAGTTGGTGTTTTCCAAGGTGAAAGAGAAGCTGGGCTTGGACAAGGCAAACCTTTGCTTCACGACCGCAGCACCCATCGCACAGGAGGTGAGAAAACAAAAGAGCCCGCGAGGGAAAACTGGTTGTGCCTACCTCAGACAGCTACTTGGTGTCGTCGACGCACCGAGGGATTCGAAAAACATAGACTATACACTAATACAGTCATTTAGTTTGCAGACGTAGATCACACGAACATAGCCACCATGTAGGCTCTGGTTGTCGGTTCTGCCTGCTTGAACCAACCCGGCCGTGAAGCACAACTTCCCCTCCACGACCAAAACCAATAACACCAACAACAGCCAGCTTCTAGACTACTGCCACACCTAACCCGGTTTGCAACCTCGTTGGCTGTCTGATTTGGATCGTCGTCCGCTGTATCCCACCGCGTGCGCTTCTTCGCTGTATGTTGGCGTGCTCTGAAACCGGTCAGACCTTGGAGTACTTCGCTTCCTTGAACATCCACATCATGGAGGTGTTCGGCCAATCAGAGTGCACCGGGCCGATGGCGGTCAGCACGAAGGAGGCTTGGAAGATGGGCTCGTGCGGCCGTCCAATGCTGGTAAGCCATGTCGTTGCCGTCTCTATTGCTGTCGCCGTTGTCGAAGTAAGTCATTATTGTCGTAGAAGTTGCTCTTGGGCACTGTCGTTGTGGGTGTTGATGTCGTCGTCGACATCGTCGTTGTTTTCTTGCATCAACAATTGTTGTCTGCAGGCTGGGCACTGTGGCATCCCCTGCCCAGCGTACCCACTCCCTCACAGCGGACCTCTGCGATGACCGGCTGGGTAGACAGACAGACCTAGGAAACGGGAAGAATCAAGTGCAGAAAATTCAGGACACGTCCTCTCCTGCTAGCGAAACAGAAACAACCAATTGCAGTCGTGATCCCCGCGCAAGGCCGACCGCCCTGGTTAAGCCCATTGGAATCGCATGACACACATAGAATATTCAACTCTGCATCGTCCCTATTGCGTTGTAAAATAGCGATCCTTACTGATACCCAAAGAGCTACGGAGTAGGTGTTTGTGATGTTGCTCATTGACTTATTCAACAGACACCAGACAATAGTGGCCGTGCTTCAAAAGCGTTAGTGCGCGTCTGCGCTCGGCTTTTGACATGTCTTCTTAGTTTTGGCTTCATCTTGACGTTTTCGTTTCCAGCTGGACAAGACAACGGGAGCGATGCGTCAGAGCGGGACAGTACTTAGTGTCGGATGGCAAGTGATGCCTGCACCGTATTGGAGCGACGTTTCCCCCCCCGTTGCTCACCTGTTTGTCACCCGTGTGCAACTTTCTGTGTTCAGGGGACCGAGTCAAAGCTCGAGCCGGGAACAGGCGAGCTTTGCTATCGCGGCCGCAACATATTCATGGGGTGAGGCGCAATCACGGGTTCACTCTCTCTTTCCAAAGCCGTTATTTTTTTGTTGTTCACTCTGGAACGACTTCTGTGACCGCTTCAATTTATCACCCGCCGTCCATCTGGTCAGCTTTATTATGCCTCGTTTTGCCCTCCGGGTGACCTTTGATTGTCTGCATCATCAGCGACCTTAACCTCAAACGAACAAAGATATTGTCTCGTCCTTCGTCAGTGTCTCCTCCATTTGATTTATTGCAACCCTCCGCAGTAAGCCTACCATGCTGTTCCTGCATACTGACGTGCAGTCGGGCTTACCCAAGCAGCGACTTCTTTCTTCTCTCGTTCCATTCGCAGTGTTTTCGCGCCTTCTCCATGTTTCGCCCGAAAAAGGTACACGTGCGTCTTTTGGTCCCTTACGAACAATAACGTTCCCCGGCTTTTGGGGTCATCGACCCTTATCTGGACCTCCTGCTGGCTGACTCCCCCCCAGAGTTCATTTTTCGCCCTCCTCGTTTGATCCCTAGCCCCCCTAGAAAGGTGCATGCGCAACCTCAGCTCGCCTTCCGTTCGATTTTCTGCCTAAGTTTACCCAAGAAAGGTACATGCACAACCTGAACTGGTATTCATTTGGTTTGTTGCCTAAGTTAACCCAAAAAAGGTACATGCACAACCTTAGCTCGCCTTCTTTTCGTTTGCCGCCTAAAGTAACCCACAATAGGTACATGCACAACCTTAGCTCGCCTTCATTTCGTTTTCCGCCTAAATGAACCCACAATAGGTACATGCACAACCTTAGCTCGCCTTCTTTTGGTTTGCCGCCTAAATTAACCCACAAAAGGTACATGCACAACCCCGAGAAGACGGCGGAGACGATCGACGAGGACGGCTGGATGCACAGCGGGGACGTCGCCACGTTCGACGAGGACGGTGACCCCAGGATCACAGGACCCAGGTACGTTCGATATTTGTGCTTTAAGAGGGTTCTTCTTCCCTGTTGCAGTTCGTGTTGACCCGGACCCTAGCTGGCACCACGCTCGACGACAATGAAGGCTGAGGCATGGGCCGATGAGGCCAAAGGGGTTTTCTAATGAACATGGTCCACTGTTTTCTTCTCAACCGTCGTTCGATTAGTGTCTGTCTTGTCTTTCTGCGGTGGTTATGTCTTTGTTCTCCAACCTTTCGTCTTACAAGGCTCTGGTCTCCACAGTGTTTTACCCCTATTACCCAATACAAGCGTCTTTCTTCCCTGTGGTTCCCCTGCTTGCCTCGATTGTTGGTGGAATGAGCGTACTGAGCGTGATCCGTTGTTCTTTGCCGCATCTTCATTGTTGTCGTGCCGTTCTTTTCAGCGGCTTCGTGCGGATCACGGGGCGCATCAAAGAGCTCATCATCACCGCCGGGGGGGAGAATGTACCGCCGGTACTCATCGAGGTCAGCTCCAATACAATAGCGTAGGCAACACGGTTCTGAGTCTGTACGTCGTTATCTGAACTAACGCTGTTCGTCATGTGGTGGCTGGAGGAGTCTTGGCTGAGCACCTGTTCTGATGGTCAAGTTTTTTTTTTTCTCTCTCTATTTTATTGGCCCTGAAGTACTTATTAGCTCCCAGATTCGTAAAACGCTTTCTGTACCTCCTCACCCATCGCTTCCTTGCAAGTTCTGTGGTGCACGTTAACCCCGAAGAAAGAGGAAACAATGAAATGGAGAAGAGAACGCCCAGCCACGCGTAGGATAACGATCCAAACGTCATTGTTCAGACATGCGGCATCGTTTTGGCCATCCCTACGTTGGGTGATTCCTGGCGCTTTACACAGTTCCCCTGTTCTTGTGTTTTTGATTTTACTTAATATTTTTGTTTCCCTCTGCACTGCTATTTGCGGCAGAGCGAGTTCAAGGCCGAGCTTCCGTGCATCGCCAACTGTATGGTCGTAGGCGACAAGAGGAAGTTCCTCACCATCCTCATCGCGCTCAGATCCGAGGTGACATGACATGCTAGTAAGAAAACCCTATTTAGCGCTAGGTAATTCCAGCTCATCGCACTTGAGCAAGAGGGGAGACAGGAGACCCCCCTTAAACCCGCACGCCCTTTCCCAACCTCAGGTCTCCGTACCTAAGCCCAAAGATCCATTTTAAGGGCCTATGTCAACGTTACATGAAAAGTTGCACCTACGTTGAGCACCCAAAATGAATTGACCTGATAGCGTTTTTGGTCAAGAAGGGCTTGCGTTGGTGTGTCGTACTTTTGCCACACCCAAATGCCAATCGAGGTGCAGCAACAGCCAAATGCGTTGGAATCGCTGCCACGAGGTGACGTGGTGACCAAACAGGTAGAGCGATAGACCATGTGCACCACACGGGAGCTGCAAATATATATGATCACGCACACGAAGCTAAGTATTAGCAGGAGGTCCCAGCGGTCCAAGCCTCAAGCTCAGGCATGTCTCGATTGGACTTTCTCGCTGCACGTTGCCTGTCGTTGGCTTTCGACATCGCATATTTTGAGAAGCAATCTCCACCACGACCTACCCAGCCTGAAAAGTGACACGCTCACGGAATCATTGCATTGCCGCTATTATCAGCAGCGGACAATGAGCGATGCGTGTGGGCGCCGCACGGCCAGTGTGCCACATGATCCAGCCAAGGGTAGTCTAATTTGCCATTCATTATTTGCTCCACGCAATGCCGAAGTCCCGCTTTTCTTGGCAGCGACATCCTATCGTATTGTTCCCTCCTGACCGATCATCGTCGTCGCCCCGCCCCAAACCTAGATTTTTGCAGGGTGACTCGCATAGGAAGAGAAGTGGTCTGCAGAACGATCGTCGTCTGGGTCACCACCTCACGACGTCCAAGCTTGGAGCAGTCCTCTGGCAGACGTACCCAGGGTCTTACCACCGAACTAAGTTGCCCTTTCGTGCCACCAACACGTCCCCTCTCTTGTGACACGCACAACGATGCGCCGCAACTCTCGGAACAGAAACGGGAGGACAAGAACGGTGGGTCGTCGACCGTCAGGCTGATCGGCGACAGCTTGACGGCGTGCGAGGAGATCGGCAGCACGGCCACCACCATCGAGGAGGCCAAGGCAGACCCCAAGGTTTGACGATGATGCTTCAAGCTAGATGTCGGTGCAAACATGCTAGTTTCACAGCGTCGTCGGTATTTTTCCATTCCGACGAAAAATATGGTTTGAAATAATTTCCGGCACACCCACTTCTTCCACGTCGTTGAACACGATCATGGCGCTCTTGCCGCATATACGTTACGAATTGGAAATCCATCCGCAAATCTCGTTTTCTTCATTAGTTTGGCGAGACGTACGCTCGCTCGTCCGTAGTATTCCAGCGCCTGTGGCATTCTTCTCCCATTTCCTCCCATCAAGAAACTCCTGGTTTTTGTCCTCCCGGCGTGGACCAAAATTTGTTGTTTCTAGTTATGTACCTGGCCTCAACGTCGTTGTACCATTCGATTTCTGGGATGTTGAACAAGCGGGCGTTTCGTGTGGTTGCAGTGTTATTGCTCCGCTAGTGCTACTGATGATGGACAGACCGAAATAATCAGATACGCTAAGAAGCCACGCCCAACTCTTGTCGCTACTGCATGCCGTCAATTTGTCGTCGTCGTCATCCTCGACGTTATCAAAGGCAAGGGTCGTTCCTTGGCAGGTGAATAGAGGGAACCATAGACAAACAACCACTCACAAAACCCGAATTATATTGTTCGTGTTGTTCTTCTGTTTCTGCCAGTGGACCGAGTACATCAACAAGGCTATGAAGGCTTGCAACGCTCGCACGACTTCCAACGCGCAGAGGGTGGCCAAGTGGGCCTTGCTCCCCAAGGACTTCTCCGTAGAAGGTAATACTCGCCAAGTGTGGGGGACGGCCACCTACACGTACACGTTCACAGCTAGTCGCTCTGTTCTGCAGGGCGTTGGTGGCGGTCGTTTGTGATACGTGTCCTCCATCCCTTTTGATTCATTCGGGCCGTTACTTTTTCTTGTCTTTCTTTGTATACTTCGTATGTGGGTATCCTTTGCTTGCCGTATTTTGCTGCGTTGAGGAGAGATAAAAGCCTTCTTCGGCTTCAGCCAGAATGGATTAACGGTTCACATTTCCACGCTTTCTGTGCAACCCCCTGGTTCATCGTGCTACGGTTTTTTCATGATTCATGTTATGCGGTGTTCGAAGCCACCGGGCGATGCAATGCGCACGTGAGAGGTCGTTTTTATTGCGCCTACAACACTGATCAATGCTGGGCGACGTTTCGCTGACATTTGGACCAGGCTTAGCCTTCCCAAGGAGTGACCAACACGGATTCAGTACTACTGTAGTGTCACCTATTTTGGCCATCGCGTACTTGATGTCTTGATTCCTCAGTTTCGGTATTGATCTCTCTTCTTTGTCGATTCACGTTTCGCTTGTCTTTTCAGGAGGCGAGTTGACGGAGACCCTCAAGCTAAGGCGAGGCCCGACTTCCGAGAAGTACACGGACATCATCGAGGGGCTCTACGCATGATGCGCTTCCTTCTCGCTTGTCTCAAGCCTTGGTTTGTAGCTCAGTATCGCTTGTGAGCCTCACATTTCTTGCTTCATGCCAAGGATAAGGACAGCTACCGTCCTCACTTTGCTGCTGCTAGAAACGTTGTTCAGAGGAAATCGTGCCGCTGGGCGCGCGCCCCATATTCACGCTGCATGCTTCGCACTTTCAGATAGGTTGTTTCATTCTTTATGTAGCGAAGTGCATACATGTGGTCGCGAAGAGATACTGGAGGCTTGGACAGTCAACTCCCAAGCGGATGAGATGACTTACCGGCGGTTGCCTCGGCTTAGGTGGGTATCGACCCGTGACTAACCGTGCATCACAACATCAGGGGTGGGGAGAAGAAATTGAATGACTGGATGCACCTGTTGGTAGAAGGACGAGTCAACGTTAGACCGTTCCGCCGGCAAGTCATCCGACGGTTGGGCCTTCGAGTAACGTAGACGAAGATATGCCCAAGATATGGGGAAGTACACGGAGCCCGGTGAGAAGACCGGGTTCATGGAGTTGCTCAAATTCTGTTGTACTAGAAGGAGAGAAAAGTGTGCATGACTGATGATCTGGGTGAAATACGCGAGAAAAACACCGTCAAGACATAAATCAATATCAGCCTACATATATATCGACATATCGTAATAATAAACAGGTGCGTTCACAATCCCTGCGCGTTTCGTTGGACATGGGGCCTACAACGAAAACGAACCTACCCTACCATGTACGTCTCAAGTCTCGCATTTGCCCGAATCAGAAATGTCATATTGATCGCACAGCAGGCGCACCGGCCTCCTTCGTTTCCTGTACCGCAACAATATCTCCACGCCCTGTCTCCACAGCTCGACAGAATATGCATATCCATAGATTGATTGATATACATTCTACAAAATAACCGGAAATTGGAAAACAAAATGATAAAAAGAAAATGACAGGTACCGCACCGACCGCTCGAGAAAAGGGCCCTCGGAAACCGATCAAAATAAAAACAAAAACAAAAATAAAGGGGACGCTTCTCAAACCCGCCTAAAGAAAAAATCAAAGGGTAACGTACCAGCACCAGGCACTACGCACCAGGGCATGGGACTAACGGAGCAAGCAGCACAAAGGCGGGAAATGGGCAGACAGCTAGATGGACAAAAACAAAAGCAACAACAGCAAACGTACCCAACACAGCAGAGTAGGCAAGGAGGGCATGGAAAAAATATAACACAGCACAGAGGCCGAAGGCAGTATCAAGGACATACAAAAAGGAGTATAGCATACAGCAGGGAGGGAAACAGGGCGCAACAACATCAGCCGGGTACATAGTTCGCCACAAGTGCGGCCTCGGCCGCCCTCCTCGCTTCTACAGCAGTGCCCGGTCGCCGTTTCTTCCCCCCCACCGCCGCTTGCCCGACTCTCTTTCTCTTCGGTCCTGAGATGGCCGTACTCTCTGTTTCTGCTTCCCTCGCGCGCTGGCGTTTTGCGGACCCTTCCGCCTCTTGCCTGTGCAATTTCCTCATGAGCCATGCCGCCCCGTCCTCGACCTTGTTGTACCACACCTCCGGGTCCTTGGCGCTCTCGTTCCATTTCCCCGCTTCTTTTTCGTCTCCCATGTTGAAGGCCACGAGGTCGTCTCCTAGACGAGACACCCATTCGCGCTCCTGCCCGCCCCGGTATCCCACACCCCCCGCCATCGCTCCTAACAGCACGTGCTTGGGGAGACGGTTGTCCTCCATGCGCATAACAAAGCCCGCGAAACATAGTCTCCGTTTGCGCNGCTTCTTTTTCGTCTCCCATGTTGAAGGCCACGAGGTCGTCTCCTAGACGAGACACCCATTCGCGCTCCTGCCCGCCCCGGTATCCCACACCCCCCGCCATCGCTCCTAACAGCACGTGCTTGGGGAGACGGTTGTCCTCCATGCGCATAACAAAGCCCGCGAAACATAGTCTCCGTTTGCGCACGGTGGCCTCGATGGTTTCCTCGCAGCCTGCCTGGATGAGGGCCTGGGCATAGGACAGGGGGCGGTCTGAGCGTTTCCGCTTGCTCCATTCCAGCCGATGCACCGTGTAAGGAACTGGCGGTGGGTCCCATTGAGCTTCGTGTAGTGCTCCGCTGTTAGGCTCCACGAGGCACACCCATATAGGAGAGTCTCCATCACTTCAGCCGGGAGTAGCCGGATCTTGAGCTGGCGGTCGGCCCGTCGCCTGTCGTACACTGAAGCACTGTTCCGGCGGTAGCACTTCCACGCTCGGCAACTGCGGCTCGTGATATCCCGATCGGCCTTCCCGTCCGCGGAGATGGTACGTCCGAGGTGCACAAACCGATCTGTCTGCTTGT